TAACGAGTAGTGTAACAAATTACTTTTTCCATGGAGTAATAAGTTAAGCAATTCATTAGTGTTGAAAGAAGTAACGAGTAAAGGTATTATAAACTGGGTGGTTCGAGCCCTGAATGCTGATTGGCTGACAGCCGTGGTATACCACGGGTATGACAAAACATTTATTTTTACTGCTCTAATTACGTTGGTAACCAGTTTATAATAGCAATAAGGCACCTCAGGGGTTTGTGATATATGGCAAATATACCATAGCTAAGGGCTGGGTCCAGGCACTCCTTGTTGCGTCGTTCATAAGAACAGCCCTTAGCCATGGTATATTGGCCATATACCACACCTCCTCAGGCCTTATTGCTTAAATATATTTAAAAAAAATTGAGTGCACATGATAGCATATTTCATGGGCATTAATTACTATTTCTTGCACGACTGCTATTTTCATGCTAGCAGTCCTGCATGTCACAGTCACACATTAGCAACATAACTTGGTAAACTACAACAAGATTAAATGAACCTGAGCATAAATATGATAAAAAAAATTTTTTTTTAAATTTAAGTTGATTAAAACACACAAACTACACTTATATTATGCATCTAGCCATTTACCAAGATTAGAAACAAATATACAGTTAGAAACCTCTGTACTCTCTCCAAGACGGTTGGAGTGGACAGGCAGTTGTTGATGCAGAGAGAGTAGAATAAGATCATGGTGAGGGATATCAGGGATAGAAAGACCTACAAGTGGGGACAGAAATGCAAACAAATGAGGGACAAGAAGATGACTATTGGGTGACTACTCACTTTCAGATGGGGGCATTGTCATATTGTTGTCCTTCATTCAGCCAGGTAATTCGTTTTTTTGGTCCACCACCTGTACCTTTGTAATACAACAGTAGAGAGGGAGATTTGTTGAAGTAATTAACAAAAATAGCAAATGTGAATCAGCTTTCAGATAATTCATTGAAATTGTGTGTGTTATGGTGTTTGTGCATGGCGTCTTATCCACAGAGAGCCGGTGTTGGTGCAGGTTTTTGTTCTAACCAAGCAATAACACCTGATTCAACTAATCATGTCTTGATTAAAGTCTATGATTAGTTGAATCTGGTTGGCAAGAACAAAAGCCTAGGTCCACATTGATCTATGTGGATATGATTGGACACCCCCTTGTTAAAAGTGGTACTTTCATGATGAATAGCAATGATCTGTTTATTTTAATAACTTTTAGGGGAGATTATTATAATCTAATTTTACATAAGAAATGTCAGTTTATAAATGTTAACATTTTGGAAATTAATTTAAATGGATTATTTAAGAGGTGGACTTATTTGTAACACCCATGGGATAACAAGGAAAGACAAAGTACGAAAGGCAGGGCCTAAAGTTATTCATAAGACATCATACTAAATGTTTTCTCAAGACTCTTTTGTTGAAGATGTTAAACATTTATCTTGGTCTGATGTGTATAAGGAGGAGAATCCAGATGCATGGAGTATTTGTAAAACGATTCTTGCCAATTGTTGACAAACATGAACCTGTTAAGAAACGAATTGTGAGAACTGTTAGAGAGCCCCCTGGATTGATGAATTGAAAAATGGTATGGTTCAAAGAAACAATGCTAAAAATGTGGCAAACCAGTCAGGCTGCTCAGCTGATTGGTTGAAATACTGTCAATTGAGAAATGTTGTGAAAGAATAAATAAAACATATATATTACATTTTAGTCATTTAGCAGACGCTCTTATCCAGAGCGACTTACAGTTAGTGAGTGCATACATTATTATTATTTTTATACTGGCCCCCCGTGGGAATCGAACCCACAACCCTGGCGTTGCAAATGCCATGCTCTACCAACTGAGCTACATCCCTGCCGGCCATTCCCTCCCCTCAACTTGTACTGCACTGGCTCAGATTACTGATGATTGGCTAAAATAAATGGTTAATAAGATGATACTGGTTACTCAGAAGGGAAAGGGGAAGTCAGATGTGTGGAAGACATTTGAAATGGTTATGGAAACTACTGGGGATCAAGAAAAAGGAGGGTATAGGAGCAAGTGCTGCGTGAGTATTGTGTGCCAAACAGGTGCTGTTAGATTACAATATAACTTTTTTCGGACCATTTGGAACAGTGCAAACAACACTAAATAAATGATAAGTGTACCAGAGAGTCTGTTCTAATGAAAAAAAGTATAATATATAAATCCTTTATAACAGCAAAGACTTAAAAAAAGTTCCATGCATTTGTGAATTGCAGTTTATTTATTGCTTAGGCTAATTATCCAAAGCTCCCTTTGTTATTTCATTTTAAAACTAAAATGCTGGATTGCATTTCAAAGCATGAATGACTTGTTTGCTGTGTGATGACATGAACGAATGATTAATTGATTGATACAGTAGCCTATATATTGAAATCTAGACTTAAGTAAGTTATGGTATTAAGACTAAACCGGACACGCTCTTTGGCCTACAGCTTGATGGTGGTTATACAAGGCTACTACTATAATAGTTATATAGTTGCCATGGCCCCCTAGTAGCAGCCTAAGCACAGAGCTCCTGTAAATGTTTACATATTTAGATATTTTTAAATGTTTTTAATTGTTGTTTTTTAATCAGCTCTTTTGCTTTTGATAACATTGAGGTTTTTATTGCATTTATCTGGCGTTTTTGAGCCATGGATTTTAACTGACATGTTAACACTTTTTGGCTTGTCTAGCTAGCTTTTGTTTGAAAAATGCATCTGGACAAAGTACAATCTTTTTTTTGTTTCACTTGGCTGCCAATTCCTGATCCTTTGAGAATATCATTTGAGGAGTCGCCTGACGTGTGAGGGGAATGGGAGATGGAGGAATACAGCAATGCAGAGGCAGAAGGCTTGTAGAAAGGAAGACTGGTTACCATTCTGAACTTTGTGTGGTGAGCTTTCTGGTGCCCAGAACTGCTGAGGCATCACCCAAGTGGGTGCTACACAGAGTGGAAGAGGAGAAGTCCAGTGGCTATAAGACGGGCTGGTTCCCAGACTTGCCCTCTACAAGATCATCAGCAGACTCCATTAACGTCATCTACCATCCTATGTCCAGCTCCCTTCGCTCAAGCCATGAACTGACCCTCTCCATCTTCAGAGGATGCAGCTTTCAAAATACTTGGCCTCTTGGTTGATATATTACTTGTTTGTTTTTTTGCTCTTGAAATGCTTTGAGATTCTACGAAAAGCGCAATAGAAATGTAATTTATTATTAATATTTTAAGAAGCCTACTAATGATAACGACATTACTTATTATTATAATGATGATCATAGTAATAATTGTAATAATAACAATAAGAAGGAGATCAAGAAAAAGGAGGTTATAGGAGCGAGAGCTGCGTGCATATTGTGTGACAAACAGGTGCTGTTAGATTACAATATAATTTTTCTGCCTGTTTTGAACATTGTAAACAACACTAAATAAATTATAAGTAATATCAGTCTGTTCTAACGAAAACAAATTGTAAAGCCTTTATTACAGCAGCGCAAAGATTAAAAACAGCTGAATTTGTGAAATTGCTTTATCCAACATTTTGCGGTTGCAACAGAAGTAGGATCTGTCTTATTTCTGTAGTATATATGGATGATTCTATAAAGCTAGGCACGTTTAACAGTTAGGCTATTGATTATAGACCTAATTAAGTTGAGGTTTGCTCTCTCGTCAATTTTCTTAGACAATTAAGGCAAGGGCTGTTTTCTCTATTCCTCACTCCGCTGCTGCCTCCGCCGCATTGTTCTCAACACCAATATGCTGGTTAACTTCGCTATTATGCACATAGCAACATATAGGGAAAAGCGCAAATTCAACGGTGGAAAGTGACCGCTATCCATCGCGGGAGAAAGCACATTTGTTATAAAATACTATAATATTTACAGTGAGGGAAAAAAGTATTTGATCCCCTGCTGATTTTGTACGTTTGCCCACTGACAAAGACATGATCAGTCTATAATTTGAACGGTAGGTTTATTTGAACAGTGAGAGACAGAATAACAACAAAAAAATCCAGAAAAACGCATGTCAAAAATGTTATAAATTGATTTGCATTTTAATGAGGCGGGGGCAGTGACTTGAGGGGGAGACCGAACCAGTGGAGACAGCAACAGGCAGGTTTCAGGTAGAGGGGGGCCAGGTGCAATCGGCCCTGGCACGTCCAGGTGTATTAGTGTTGCACCATTATTCTTACATAGTATAACCATTTACAATTTCAGTAGCACTTAGTCTTAGAGCAGGGATGGGCAACTGGGGCCCGCTTTTTTAGGGACTCAGTTGGGGTCTCAACTTACTGTCGAGCTTTAGAATAATATACTGAACAAAAATATAAACGCAACATGCAACAATTTCAAAGATTTTACTGAGTTACAGTTCATATAAAGAAATCAGTCAATTTAAATACATTTTCCTCATGCAGCGTGACACATCTCCTTCGCATAGAGTTGATTGCTTCTTGATATGCCATACCTGTCAGGTGGATGGATTATCTTTGCAAATGAGAAATGCTCACTAACAGGGACGTAAACAAAATTGTGCTCAAAATTAGAGAGAATTAAGCTTTTTGTGCGTATGAAAAATGTCTGGGATCTTTTATTTCAGGTCATGAAACATGGGACCAACACTTTACATGTTGCGTTTCTTTTTTTGTTCAGTGTAGAATTCACAAAATAGGGCAGTATATGTTATAAATGTCTACACTTAGATTTTGGTGGATTTAGTAATCCTTCCAATTGTTACATGACTGTTCAGAATTTGCAGAATATAAAGATCCACCAGGCTGAATTAAGAAAGGTGTCGTTAAATGATTTTCTCCATCACACAAAAGTACACACACAAACAGAATAAAGAGTGTTTTTCAAACAGTAATTAATTGATAGAAAAAGTCAAACCAACTACATTAATGTGAGACACTCTGCCAGTGCAGTATTCATGGCCAGCAGGCTCCGACAATATCCATAATGACTATAGAAAGTACGAACACTTCAAGACCCTATGGTCAGATGTCTTTTCATAAAGGCGGCATGGTAAGTAATGGCATTGACGTTTCTGGGTGTGTGGGGAGTGGAGTGGAGTGGGGTGGGGGTGGGGGTGGGGTGACTTGAGGGGGAGACAGAACCAGTGGAGACAGCAACAGGCAGGTTTCAGGTAGAGGGGGGCCAGGTGCGATCGGGCCTGGCACGTCCAGGTGTCAGGCCAGGGTGTCCTCAGTCGCGGTCCTATAGCCTCAGGCCCACCGGAAGAGGAGACACAGAATGAGAAAAGGTTAGTAAGAGTACTTCTGAGTCAGTTCAGGTAGCATTCAATGTCCTGCATTTGTGTTAACCATGGCAGCCAGCATTGCAAATGAAGAGATTCGTATAAAATAAATCAGCCTCTGTCTGTGGATCCTTACCCCTTAATGTAATTTTCATGTCAGCCAGGCCAATCTTTTAATATAAACACAATTTATTTCAAGCTTTAGTTGAGCAAAATAAGTAGTGTTGCTCGGTTGACAAGATAATTCAAAGAATTGAGTCATGCAGAAATATCTCAATGCTTTATCCTCTAAAGTGACAACAAGTTGTTGTTTCCCTGACTGCTACCTATGGCTGCTACTCAGAAATAATATAGCCTAACAGTAAATTAATAGATGACATTCACTGCAATTATAAACCTGTCTCCAGTATAAAGCTACATACACAGACCCACTGTGGATCTTTGTCAAATAAATCTGTGTGAAAATCCGTCCCAGGACCTGTTTTGTCAATGAGCACAATTTATTCCAAACACTGGTGGTAACTAGATAATCCTAAGAATTCAGGTAATACACCACATTAGTCACTGGCTTCATCAATAAGTGCATCGATGACGTCGTCCCCACAGTGACTGTTGTACATACCCCAACCAGAGGCCATGGATTACAGGCAACATCCGCACTGAGCTAAAGGGTAGAGCTGCCGCTTTCAAGGAGCGGGACTCAAACCCGGAAGCTTATAAGAAATCCCGCTATGCCTTCCGACGAACCATCAAACAGGCAAGCGTCAATACAGGACTAAGATCTAATCTTACTACACCGGCTCCGACACTCGTTAGGTGTGGCAGGGCTTGCAAACTATTACAGACTACAAAGGGAAGCACAGCCGCGAGATACCCAGTGACACGAGCCTACCAGACGAGCTAAATTACTTCTATGCTCGCTTCGAAGCAAGTAACACTGAAACGTGCATGAGAGCATCAGCTGATCACGCTCTCCGTAGCCGATGTGAGTAAGACGGATTACCAGGATGTGTACTCCGAGCATGCGCTGACCAACTGGCAAGTGTCTTCACTGACATTTTCAACCTCTCCCAGTCTGTAATACCAACATGTTTCAAGCAGACCACCATAGTCCCTGTGCCCAAGAACACTAAGGTAACCTGCCTAAATGACTACCGACCCGTAGCACTCACGTCTGTAGCCATGAAGTGCTTTGAAAGGCTGGTCATGGCTCACATCATCACCATTATCCCAGAAATCCTAGACCTATGGCAGTCTCTATGGGGGTGCCACAGGGTTCAATTCTTGGGCCGACTCTTTTCTCTGTGTATATCAATGACGTCGCTCTTGCTGCTGGTGACTCTCAGATCCACCTCTACGCAGACGACACCATTTTGTATACATCTGGCCCTTCATTGGACACTGTGTTAACAAACCTCCAAACGAGCTTCAATGCCATACAACACTCCTTCAGTAGCCTCCAACTGCTCTTAAACACTAGTAAAACTAAATGCATGCTCTTCAACCGAACGCTGCTTGCACCCGCCCACCCGACTAGAATCACTACTCTCGACGGGTCTGACCTAGAGTATGTGGACAACTACAAATACCTAGGTGTCTGGTTAGACTGTAAACTATCCTTCCAGACTCACATTAAGCATCTCCAATCCAAAGTTAAATCTAGAATCAGCTTCCTATTTCGCAACAAAGCCTCCTTCACTCATGCTGCCAAACATGCCCTCGTAAAACTGACTATCCTACCGATCCTTGACTTCGGCGATGTCATTTACAAAATAGCCTCCAACACTCTACTCAGCAAATTGGATGTAGTCTGTCACAGTGCCATCCGTTTTGTCTTCAAAGCCCCATATACTACCCACCACTGTGACCTGTACGCTCTTGTTGGCTGGTCCTCACTACATATTCGTCGCCAAACCCACTGGCTCCAGGCCATCTATAAATCACTGCTAGGCAAATCCCCGCCTTATCTTAGCTCATTGGTCACCATAGCAACACCCACCCGTAGTATGCGCTCCAGCAGGTATATCTCACTGGTCATCCCCAAAGCCAACACCTCCTTTGGCCGCCATTCCTTCCAGTTCTCTGCTGCCAATGACTGGAACAAATTGCAAAAATCTCTGAAGCTGGAGACACTTATCTCCCTCACTAACTTTAAGCATCAGTTGTCAGAGCACCTTACCGATCACTGCACCTGTACACAGCCCATCTGAAATTAGCCCGCCCAACTACCTCATCCCTATATTGTTATTTATTTTGCTCATTTGTACCCCAGTATCTCTATTTGCACATCATCTCTTGCACATCTATCATTCCAGTGTTAATACTAATTGTAATTATTTTGCACTATAGCCTATTTATTGCCTTACCTCCATAACTTGCTACATTTGCACACACTGTAAATATATTTATTTCTGTTGTATTTTTGACTTTGTTTTGTTTTACCCCATATGTAACTCTGTGTTGTTGTTTTTATCGCACTGCTTTGCTTTATCTTGGCCAGGTCGCAGTTGAAAATGAGAACTTGTTCTCAACTGGCTTACCTGGTTAAATAAAGGTTAAATAAATAAAAAAAAAAAAAAAAAATGCTGTTTAATCAGCTTCTTGATATGCCACACCTGTCAGGTGGATGGATTATCTTGGCAAAGGAGAAATGCTCACTAACAGGGATGTAAACAAATTTGTGCACAAAATTTGAGAGTGCATATGTAACATTTCGGGGATCTTTTTATTTCAGCTCATGAAACGTGGAACCAACACTTTACATGTTGCGTTTTATATTTTTGTTCAGTATAGCTCTTCTAGCCGTTGAGGAACTAGAGCAAACACACTTGTTTTGTTTGGAACAAAACCCTGCATCCAAGTCTATTGTTGTTGTTTACACTATCCAAAAACAGTCCATTTTATAAATCACAATCTGGGTCAGGTGGGCATAATTTGAAAGCCTCTTCTATTGCCAACATGACTAGCTAAGTTATAAAATACGATATTACAGTGTTAGGCTTTCACAATGCAATTCAAGGAAACAGATCATAATTTTGGTACGCATAGAAAGGAGTCATTAGTTCATTCAGGTGTGTGTGCCCATAGCGAATTTCCTTCACAAAAGTCAAACAGGCTCATTCTGTTGAGAACAACCCAGGGTATGACGTCATGTCATCTTTTAACTGTACATCAAACAGTGATCATAAACATTGACATTGACATTGTCATAAACAGCGCATTCGGAAAGTATTCAGACCCTTTCGTAAAAGATTTGAAAAGTCTGGATTGGACTTGGGTACCGAATGTACCCTTTCGTTTATTAACATTTTACATTTTAGTCATTTAGCAGATCCCCATTTGCTACTGCATGTGCAACAGCTACTCTTCCTGGGGTACAAATACATGACAAAGTACAGAACAGTTATAGACAAGGACATTCAATTAAAAATATATAATAATAGTAATAAGTTATACAGTGCATTCGGAAAGTATTCAGACCCCTTGACTTTTTCCACATTTTGTTACTTTTTTGCAAATGTATTTAAAATAAAAAACTATCACATTTACATAAGTATTCAGACCCTTTACTCAGTACTTTGTTGAAGCACCTTGGCAGCGATTACAGCCTCGAGTCTTCTCATGGTCTGAGAGTCCTTTAGGTGCCTTTTGGCAAACTCCAAGTGGGCTGTCATGTGCTTTTTACTGTTTGGCCACTCTACCATAAAGGCCTGATTGGTGGAGTGCTGCAGAGATGGTTGTCCTTCTGGAAGGTTCTCCCATCTCCATAGAGGAAATCAGGAGCTCTGTCAGAATCACCATCGGGTTCTTGGTCACCTTCCTGACCAAGGCCCTTCTCCCCCGGTTGCTCATTTTGGCCGGGCGGCCTGCTCTAGGAAGAGTCTTGGTGGTTCCAAACTTCTTCCATTTAAGAATGATGGAGGCCAGTGTGTTCTTGGGAACCTTCAATGCTGCAGAATGTTTTTGGTACCCTTTCCCCAGACCTGTGCCTCGACACAATCCCGTCTCGGAGCTCTACGGTCAATTCCTTCGACCTCACGGCTTGGTTTTTGCTCTGACATGCACTGTCAACTGTGGGACCTTATATAGACAGGTGTGTGCCTTTCCAAATCATGTCCAATCAAATGCATTTACCACAGGTGGACTCCAATCAAGTTGTAGAAACATCTCAAGGATGATCACTGGAAACAGGATGCACCTGAGCTCAATTTCGAGTCTCATAGCAAAGGGTCTGAATACTTAAGTAAATAAGGTATTTCTGTATTTTTTATAAATTTGCAAACATTTCTAAAAACTTGTTTTCGCTTTGTCATTATGGGGTATTGTGTGTAGATTTATGAGGAAAACATTTTATTTAATCAATTTTATAATGCGTAACAAAATGGGGAAAAAGGGAAGGGGTCTGAATACTTTCCGAATGCACTGTATATGACATGAGTTTTAGGATATTGAAATGTGAAGTGCACATTTGGACTCACGGGTGTTTGGCTTGCTTATATGACATCAATGCGGAATTTATTATAATCTTAAACGTCTTATCTTTCAAAATACATAGTCTTCTTAATGTACAGCATTTCCCTCTCTCAGACAACAAAACAAATGCAAAAGTTGCCCAATTAGCGGGAGGGATGGAGGCAACTTCTTGTTGCGCAAGGTGCTCAAGGTCAGAATGGCTGTCAATCAAAACACATACAGCGCTGTGAAGCGCAGAGCCAGAGCTCTGACATCATGTATATCATGATACTGTACAGCCACTGTATTCCAATTTAGGCGTTTATCAGTGCCCAAATCTGCCATTTTCAACCCGTATACAGGTACGAGTGTATAGGGCTACTTCTAAAAGGAAAAATTCAACTATAATGCAAGAGCGCCTGCCTCTCCCATATGGACACATTTAGTGATATACCTTGAGCAATTGGCGGCTAAAGCACTGCAGCAGGTAACTTCCATTGTCAACTAGGTTAAAGAAATTGCCTACATAAAGCAGACATATATATCCTTTATGCACATTTTCTACGCTTGGCGGGTGGTTCAGTTTCTTTCAATCACTTTCACCTCTCTTCTCCACAGGTCTGTCTTGAGACTTTGCTAGTGAACTTGCAACATTGTTTCAACTGGGCCCTCCCAATGAGCTTGGGACAGACATAGCTGTATTTGTGCAAGGGAGAAGTGTCTAACGCCCAACTAGGGCCGTGTCTAGACTTGACAGTTCATGCAGCTTTAGTATTCTGATCATAGAGTTCTGATCATGGAATTCCGAACACATTTACATTTACATTTTAGTCATTTAGCAGATGCTCTTATCCAGAGCGACTTACAGTTAGTGAGTGCATACGTCATGCGTCTACACCGACATTCAAATGTGTCTACCGTGTCCGGATTCCCTTTACTGCGCTATATTCAAATGCCAGTATGCATTTTACAAACGGTGGAATAGGAAAAATATGATAGCTACTGCCATCAGTTGTTGTTAACTACTGTAGCTAACTAGCAAGCTAACCTCTGTAGCTAGCCAGCAAGTAACGCTAAAGGGATTGCAAACGGGTTAGCATAACTCTAGCCAAACAAAAAATAGTTTTTCAAAATATTAGCTAGCTGGCTAGCATTTATGAGGCCAGTAAACACGTTCCTCACACGCTACGGACGTATTTCCCCCAATGTTAGAATGAAAAGGTTCCTCTCTGTCCCAAAACAGAGACTTGTGAGAGGAGTGCTGATGACATCGCCCACTGTATGCGCTTTCGGATCGGAACACAATCAGACCACAAAGCGACTTTTGTGCGTCTAGACCTGTCTTTTTAATACGATCTTCGTATTCTGATAGCAGAAGTCTCATGTAAGTGTCAAGTGTAGACACAACCTAGGAGAGGAGAGGTAGGCTATAAACCTAGGAGAGGAGAGGTAGGCTATAGGATACTGAACTTGAAGCAGCAAGAATGATGAGAGAGCGGATACTTGCACTTTCTCTTGAGTTACATTTTGCCTACCTTTTAGGAGTGGGACGATTTGCAGGCAGAGACAATATTTATTTCCAGAAAATGTAGTAGGCCTACAGTATAGCCTAATTTCCTTGGAAAGATAACTGCACTGTGCTTCTCCGCCCATCCATATATATTTAATTGAGACCACTAGGGTTGTAAAGGGAAGGAATATTACTGAAAACTTTGGAAGTTTGCCAGTACACTACCAGATTTTTTATAAAATTCCCACCAAAACATGAAAGTTATCAGATGACATCTAGTGGCCTTTTTGGGTACTTCAGATTATCACAGGTATCTGTAATTATCCCTGACCCTCTGTGTGGCCTTATCACATGTAAAATATATAAAATAATCAAATAATGACGACAAAGCTGTAAAACATCCTAAATATAAACTATCAACTTGGTGAATACCATTGGTGTTTAATATGAGGGTTTCAGCATGAGATATCCCTTTTTTTTTCACACTTTTATTTATTTTACTACATCAATTTGTCTTTTTTGTAAGCGTTTTGGGGCTAAACTGGTGGCAGTTGTGAAAAAAGTAAATAGTTGGAAGTGTTGCAGAGATCATTGAAAATGATTCCATTGTTTATTAGAAAATGTTTCATTAATTAGGCTATTTTTTCTTAAACCACATGGTCTATCCACTAGAAACGAATGGACAATATGGGCACAGATATAAAAAATGAATACTAACTTTTAAAAAAGTTATTAAAGTATAAATTACCAAAGTTACCATAGATTGACATAAATTACCTGTTAATCACAAAATGACTGAAGATTCCAGTAACTTTGGTAAATTACTGGTAGCTTTGCAACCCTAGAGACCACACATATAGGCGCAATTTGATTTCGTACGCCCAACTAGGAGAGGAGAGGTATAGGCTACTGAACTTGAAGCAGCGATTGATGAGAGTATGTGAATAGTGCGACAAAGAGGTGCTTTTAATACAATAGATAGGCTAACACATACAAAACAGAAAGATGACTGTTTCCAAATAATGTGCGGGACAAAATATTTTCATCCAAAAGTCTGACCGCCCGCTCTCTAATTCAAGCTCCGTAATATCCTAGCTAGTACTCTTAGCTACTTTAATCTTGTCGAAGGTACGAGTGTGCTAGGCACGAATCAATGACAAATTCACTACTGTCTTATTCCAGAACAGAGGAGGGTCACACCAGGCTACATGTACTGTAGTGACATATACTCACCGTTTTTCCAGTGGAACTGGTGTGTGTGTGTGTGTGTGTGTAGTGCAGACCTGGGTATTTGAGTATCTGGTATTGAAAATACTTTTCCTGTGTATTTGAGTATTTTCAAATACACAGTCCAAAACTTAGTAGTACTTTTATTTGAGTATTTGAATGGTTATTTGTAAAAACCAGATAGTCTGCCTAAATGATTTGACAGTATTTTCAAATACTATTTTCAAATACCTGGGTTAATGCATGGGAGTGTATTTGAGTCAGTGTATTTGAGTATTTTCACGTACTTTCCAAATGTATTTCCAATTACATAAAAATATTCAACTACTTGTCTATTCAAATAAAATGTATCTGAATACCTACTTCGAATTAATGTGAAAGTAATTGAGGTATTTTAAATAGTATTTGAACCCAGGTGTGGTGTGTTTATGTTTTCTGTTCTGTGGGAGGCTGGGAGCAGGTGTAGGCCTACAGACAGTGACAACCCTGTGTTTGTCTGTGTGTGTGTACACTGCAGGTGTGAGAGCCGCCAGCGTTGGGACAGTCCATCCGTGTGTCTGTGTCTGCGCAGGTGTGTGTCAGTCGACTGGCACAGCTCGGAATGCAAGATGCTGTTCTCCCTGGGGATGCTGATGCTGTCCGCCACACAGATCTACACCATCTTCACTGTGCAGCTCTTCGCCTTCCTCAACCTGCTGCCCGTTGAGGCTGACATTTCTGCCGTGAGTCCCGTAGACTGAGAGACAGACGGGCGGGTGGGTGGGTGGGCAGGCATGCAGGCAGATAGACAGACAGATACACAGACAGACATGCGGTCTACAGACATTCAGACTGACTGACTGGCTTACAGAAAACCTATTTTGGCTCAGTGCTGGGAACTTCTAGTTACTAACACCACCATGTAGTTCATGATGCGATTTGTATTCTTATTTCTCTTTCAGTACACATTTGACAACAAAACGGGAAACTTTGATGACCTGCCTGCACGGTTTGGGTACCGGTTGCCCAGCGATGGACTCAAGGTGGGTACAACAATGGTCCATACGTCGACTGTTTACACACGGTGTCATTTCACTGCCATTGACACAAGTTAAAGTATAACCATCGTCAGAACATGAACGATAATGCATGGAATCCGATTTTCGATTGCATTTTTTCTTGAGAGAGAATGCCCATCTCAGAAAAACTAATGTAAAACTAAAAATGTGTAAGAGAGTGAATTGATTTTCAAAAATTATCACTAATGCATATACACTGAGTGTACAAAACATTAGGAACTCCTTCCTAATATTGAGTTTAGGGCTGACCCTAATTAGTCGACTGGTCGATTGTTTGGTTGTTAGGCTGTTTGGTCTACCGAGATTGTTTTAGTCGAGCAGTAACAAATATATACAGTACCAGTCAATAGTTTGGACACACCTACTCATTCCAGGGTTTTTCTTTATTTTTACTGTTTTCTACATTGTAGAATAATAGCGAAGACATCAAAACTATGAAATAACACATATGGAATCATGTAGTAAACAAAAAAGTGTTAAACAAATCAAAATATATTTGAGATTCTTCAAAGTAGCCACCCTTTGCCTTGATGACAGCTTTGTACACTCTTGGCATTCTCTCAACCAGCTTCATGAGGAATGCTTTTCCAACAGTCTTGAAGGAGTTCCCACATATGCTGAGCACTTGTTGGCTGCTTTTCCTTAACTCTGCTGTCCAACTCATCCCAAACCATCTCAGTTGGGTTGACGTCGGGTGATTGTGGAGGCCAGGTCATCTGACGCAGCACTACATCACTCTCCTTCTTGGTCAAATAGCCCTTACACAGCCTGGAGGTGTGTTTTGGGTCAATGTCCCGTTGAAAAACGATATGATAGTTCCACTAAGCGCAAACCAGATGGATGGCGTATCGCTGCAGAATTCTGTGGTAGCCATGCTGGTTAAGTGTTCCTTGAATTCTAAATAAATCACAGACAGTGTCACCAGCAAAGCACCATCACATCTTTTTCACCCTCTGAATGGCAGATATTCCATGTCTCAATTGTCTCAAGGCTTAAAAATCCTTCTTTAACCTGTATCATCCCTTTCATCTATGCTGATTGAAGTGAATTTAACAGGTGACATCAATAAGGGATCATAGCTTTCACCTGGATTTACCTGGTCAGTCTATGTCATGGAAAGAGCAGGTGTTCCTAATGTTTTGTACACTCAGTGACGACACATATAATAAACACATGCTACACTTACTTATTATAGGCCCTGCTTATCTATTATTTGGAAGCATTTTATCTAATTTGATTTAATCACAGTGAACTCTAAGGAGGCGTCCCAAATGGCACCCTGTTCCCTATAAAGTTCACTACTTTTGAATAGAGCCCTATGGGCCCTGGTCAAAAGTAGTGCACTATAGTGAATAGGGTGCATTTTGGTACACACACTAGTAGTGGGCCCAGCTGTGACCTAGGACCAGTGGCCAAACTGGAACTACAGTGAAGAGCACTGTGTTGCGCAGGAGCATGATCACCATGGCTGTCTAATGAGAATGAGGTCATGTGTTGACCCACACAGCTGGCAACAGGGATGATTCATGTCTGTGCTTCTGAGCTAGGCCATTGTGTTTCCCCCCAGTGAAGAGCTTGTTGTTGTCCATTGCTAGGCTTTCCATTCTCTAACTAACCTCTCTGTCTGAAATGTCCATGATCAATCATTCATTTCAGTTTTTAACCCCCCCCCAAAAAAAATTTTGTTTTATTTTCAGTCTGGGAACTACCCTGTTCCTAAAGTAACTGAATAAACCTAACATAGTGGTACGCTGTATGCTCCTATCAGTCTTGGTGATGAAGGCTCTTTAGCTGAAATATTGGGAATAAACAGCGAGGAGAGATGAGTCGTGGTCAAAAGTTTTGAGAATGACACAAATATTAATTTTCACCAAGTCTGCTGCCTCAGCTTTTATGATGGCAATTTGCATATACTCCAGAATGTTATGAGTGATCAGATGAATTGCAATTAATTGCAAAGTCCCTCTTTGCCATGAAAATGAACTTAATCCCCAAAAAACTTTTCCACTGCATTTCAGCCCTGCCACAAAAGGACCAGCTGACATCATGTTAGTGATTCTCTCGTTAACACAGGTGAGAGTGTTGACGAGGACAAGGCTGGAGATCACTCTGTCATGCTGATTGAGTTAGAATAACAGACTGGAAGCTTTAAAAGGAGGGTGGTGCTTGAAATCATTGTTCTTCCTCTGTTAACCATGGTTACCTGCAAGGAAACACGTGCCGTCATCATTGCTTTGCACAAAAAGGGCTTCACAGGCAAGGATATTGCTGCTAGTAAGATTGTACCTAAATCAACCATTTATCGGATCATCAAGAACTTCAAGGAGAGAGGTTCAATTGTTGTGAAGAAGGCTTCAGGGCGCCCAAGAAAGTTCAGCAAGCGCCAGGACCGTCTCCTAAAGTTGATTCAGCTGCAGGATCGGGGCACCACCAGTGCAGAACTTGCTCAGGAATGACAGCAGGCAGGTGTGAGTGCATCTGCACGCACAGTGAGGCGAAGACTTTTGGAGGATGGCCTGGTGTCAAGGAGGGCAGCAAGGAAGCCACTTCTCTCCAGGAAAAACATCAGGGACAGACTGATATTCTGCAAAAGGTACAGGGATTGGACTGCTGAGGAATGGGGTAAAGTCATTTTTTCTGATGAATCCCCTTTCCAATTGTTTGGGGCATCCGGAAAAAAGCTTGTCCGGAGAAGACAAGGTGAGCGCTACCATCAGTCCTGTGTCATGCCAACAGTAAAGCATCCTGAGACCATTCATGTGTGGGGTTGCTTCTCAGCCAAGGGAGTGGGCTCACTCACAATTTTGCCTAAGAACACAGCCATGTAAGTAAAGCCAATAAAGCCAATAAAGAATGGTACCAACACATCCTCCGAGAGCAACTTCTCCCAACCATCCAAGAACAGTTTGGTGACGAACAATGCCTTTTCCAGCATGATGGAGCACCTTGCCATGAGGCAAAAGTGATAACTAAGTGGCTCGGGGAACAAAACATCGACATTTTGGGTCCATGGCCAGGAAACTCCCCAGACCTTAATCCCATTGAGAACTTGTGGTCAATCCTCAAGAGGCGGGTGGACAAACAAAAACCCACAAATTCTGACAAACTCCAAGCATTGATTATGCAAGAATGGGCTGCCATCAGTCAGGATGTGGCCCAGAAGTTAATTGACAGCATGCCAGGGTGGATTGCAGAGGTCTTATGTATGCACTCACTAACTGTAAGTCGCTCTCGATAAGAGCGTCTGCTAAATGACTAAAATGTAAATGTAAAAATGTCTTGAAAAAGAAGGGTCAACACTGCAAATATTGACTCTTTGCATAAACTTAATGTAATTGTCAATAAAAGCCTTTGACACTTATGGAATGCTTGTAATTATGCTTCAGTATACCATAGTAACATCTGACAAAAATATCTAAAAACACTGAAGCAGCAAACTTTGTGAAGACCAATACTTGTGTCATTCTCAAAACTTTTGACCACGACTGTACTGTATGGCTGCAATCCAAACAAGTAAAAGTCCTCTCCCCTCAGCCCTCAAATTAAGTAGACTTCTGATGACGAATCATGAAGTATGTTGAGTTGACACTTGCAGGAACAGGGGCGAGGGGAAGAATGAATTAATTTTAAATCGACCGCCCTTGCCGAGAAATGTGTCACTCATTTGTCCCACGGTTGTGTTTTCAGTCATCATGGAACCAACGGTAGCGGTTGAGTGTGCTTTATATGCGATACAGTAAATTATGATTGCATTTTATATCTTGGCTAGAAGACAACGCATCCGCAGACATCGAATGCTAGCCAACCGACGATATCAGGTAAATTGAAAATTACAGTGTATAGGTGTGATGTCAGGGAAAGTTGTATGCACTAGCTAACGTTTCCAAAAGCTAACCAAACAAAAACATTAGTACTTTTACGATATGTGTTTATTTACATTTGTTTTTACTAACACTTGTATGTTAACTTCTCCATATTGATGTTGGTTTTAAGTTTTGGCTGACTTTTCTTAGCGGATGTACAATCATCGCAAATTGAATAATGTGGCGTTTCAGGCCTCGGAGTGAACTAAATTGTACACTCGCAAACTCAATCACAAACGAGGGCTGAGGGGCTTACGTTGCCAACTTCCCTTGCTTGGCTAATTGTTTGGATGGCCGCGGGGATTCCCCCAAGGGCATAAGGCGAGGGTAAGTGGAGGAGGGTGTGTCTTTTATGTGTTTGAAATGCAGCCTCTGACTTCATTTTTCAATTGTATAGGCTTAGTTTATTCTCTGTTAGTCAGCACCTCACCCAAGGGTGTGCATTGTTTGTTTCTTTATAACTCGAAAGTAGTAATGTTATCAGTTAATAAAAGTTGTTTGAAGGGGATCAGCATTGAAACAATAACAAAGCGTCTCCCTGTGTTTCCCACTGATGTTCTGAGAACGTTACGTGATGGTCCCAAGGGAACGTTCTCTGGGGGACCTTTGTCTAGTTCTCTGTACGTTCCCAGGACATCACTGAGGACCATGTCTGGACCGTTTTCAGACATTCTCAGGACTTTCATTTTACTAGTCCTTAGGACGTTGCATGATGGTCCCAAAGAAACGTTCTCTGGGGGACCTTTTTATAGTTCCCTGTTTGTCCCAGGACGTTTTTAGGAAGTTCTTGGGACGTTGTGTCATGGTCCCCTGGAGATTTTGTCTAGTTCGCGGTTTGTCCCGAGGACGTTTTTAGGAAGTTTTTTGGATGTTGTGTCATGGTCCCCTGAACGTTCTTCGGATTTTGTGTCATGGTCCCCTGGAAATTTTTGTCACGTGATGGTCCCAGGTGTCCCAAACCATTTGTAAGTAAAGTAATGAAAAGGTATGGGGATTTTAAGGTAAGTGGTACGCTGTTCAGCTAAAATAGTGTAAAAATCTTTAATCAAAGACAATATGATTTACATTTGACATAATCACTTAAATCAAAGCCCTTAACCAACAATGCAGTTCAAGAAATAGTGTTAAGAAAATATTTACTAAATAAAGTAACACAATAAAATAACAATACAGAGGCTATATAGTCCTTTGTAGCTCAGTTGGTAGAGCATGGCGATTGCAACGCCAGGGTTGTGGGTTCGATTCCCACGGGGGACCAGTATGAAAAAAAATAAAAAAATTATGCAGTCTGGATAAGAGCGTCTGCTAAATCACTAAAATGTAAAAATGTAAATATACAGGGGGTACCGGTACTGAGTCAATGTGCTGGGGTACAGGTTAATCGAGGTAATTTGTACATGTACAGTTGAAGTCGGAAGTTTACATACACTTAGGTTGGAGTCATTAAAACTAGTTTTTCAACCACTCCACAAATTTCTTGTTAACAAACTATAGTTGTGGCAAATTACTTGTGCATGACACAAGTAATTTTTCCAACAATTGTTTACAGACAGATTATTTCACTTATAATGCACTGTATCACAATTCCAGTGGGTCAGAAGTTTACATACACTAAGTTGACTGTGCCTTTAAACAGCTTGGAAAATTCCAATAAAATGATGTCATGGCTTTAGAAGCTTCTGATAGGCTATTTGACATCATTTCAGTCAATTGGAGGTGTACCTGTGGATGTATTTCAAGGCCTACCTTCAAACTCAGTGCCTCTTTGCTTGACATCATGGGAAAATCAAAAGAAATCAGCCAAGACCTCAGGAAAAAAATTGTAGACCTCCACAAGTCTGGTTCATCCTTGGGAGCAATTTCCAAACGGCTGAAGGTACCACATTCATCTGTACAAACAATAGTACGCAAATATAAACACCATGGGACCATGCAGCCGTCATACCGCTCAGGAAGGAGACACGTTCTGTCTGCTAGAGATGAACGTACGTTGGTGCGAAAAGTGCAAATCAATCCCAGAACAACAGCAAAGGACCTTGTGAAGATGCTGGAGGAAACAGGTACGAAGTATCTATATCCACAGTAAAACTAGTCCTATATCGACATAACCTGAAAGGCCGCTCAGCAAGGAAGAAGCCACTGCTCCAAAACTGCCATAAAAAGCCAGACTACGGTTTGCAACTGCACATGGGGACAAAGATCGTACTTTTTGGAGAAATGTCCTCTGGTCTGATGAAACAAAAATAGAACTGTTTGGCCATAATGACCATCGTTATGTTTGCAAGCCGAAGAACACCATCCCAACCGTGAAGCACAGGGGTGGCAGCATCATGCGGTGGGGGTGCTTTGCTGCAGGAGGGACTGGTGCACTTCACAAAATAGATGGCATCATGAGGAAGGAAAATTATGTGGATATATTGAAACAAAATCTCAAGACATCAGTCAGGATGTTAAAGCTTCGTCGCAAATGGGTCTTCCAAATGGACAATGACCCCAAGCATACTTCCAAAGTTGTGGCAATATGGCTTAAGGACATCAAAGTCAAGGTATTGGAGTGGCCATCACAAAGCCCAGACCTCAATCCTATAGAAAATGTGTGGGCAGAACTGAAAAAGCGTGTGGGAGCAAGGAGGCCTACAAACCTGACTCAGTTACACCAGCTCTGTCAGGAGGAATGGGCCAAAATTCACCCAACTTTTTGTGGGAAGCTTGTGGAAGGCTACCCGAAACGTTTGACCCAAGTTCAACAATTTAAAGGCAATGCTACCAAATACTAATTGAGTGTATGTAAACTTCTGACCCACTGGGAATGTGATGAAAGAAATAAAAGCTGAAATAAATCATTCTCTCTACTATTATTCTGACATTTCACATTCTTAAAATAAAGTGGTGATCCTAACTGACCTAAGACAGGGAATTTTTACCAGGATTAAATGTCAGGAATTGTGAAAAACTGAGTTTAAATGTATTTGGCTAAGGTGTATGTAAACTTCCGACTTCAACTGTAGGTAGGGGTGAAGTGACGATGCATAGATAATAAACAGCGAGTAGCAGCAGGGTAAAAACAAAAGGGGGGGGGGTCAGTGTAAATAGTCCGGGTGGCCATTTGATTAATTGTTCAGCAGTCTTATGGCTTGGTGGTAGAAGCTGTTAATGAGCCTTCGGCCCTAGACTTGGCGCTCTGGTACCGCTTGCCATGCGGTAGCAGAGAGAACAGTCTATGACTAGGGTGGCTGGAGTCTTTGACAATTTTTAGGGCCTTCCTCTGACACCGCCTGGTATAGAGGTCCTGGATGGCAGAAAGCTTGGCCCCAGTGATGTACTGTGCCGTACACACTACCCTCTGTAGTGCCTTGCAGTCGGAGGCCGAGCAGTTGCCATACCATGCAGTGATGCAACCAGTCAGGATGCTCTCGATGGTGCAGCTGTATAACTTTTTAAGGATCTGAGGGCTTTGTCGTGCCCTCTTCACGACTGTCTTGGTGTGTTTGGACCATGATTAATGATTAGTGAATCAAGGTCTGTATAGGATTTCACCATTGTGCATGCACCTTTCAAGTCCTCTCAGTTCAGTCGTCATGAAGGAAAGGAGGCTAGGAAAGGAAGCTAGCTTTCACACTACTGAGCCAAGTCAAGCTAAACCTAGCCAAACTATACTGGCCTGGTTACACATCCACCATAGTTGCTGGAAAAGACCATGTGAAGAGAACATATCTGAGCCAGCACAGTACAGATCTGTTCGGCACGTTAGTGCGAAAAGGGTATAATTCAAAACCATTGGAGCATGGCCTGACATGTGGTATTGCAGGTCTGCTGGCTCCATTGTGGCAATGCCCCCACCTGCTGTTGTGACAGTATTTTCCCCAGGCATCCCAGTATGGGATGGACTAGGATGGGGGATGGCAGTGCCAACTAATGAGTCAAGCCCCTCACCTCCGAGTTCTGGTAAAGAGGCAGGGGTCACGTCTGTCACTGTATGTGTGCAGCCTGCCAGGCTTCTTGCGTAAGGCATCAGATTATGAAAGCTGAGCGATGAGGGCAAAAGCAGATCATCTCTCTCTTTTTCTTACCCGCTCAGTCCTCTCCCTCTCCTCTTATTCTTTGTCTCTCTTGCGCATTCATTTTTTTTTTTTTCCGTTTGTCTCTCTCCAAGCAATCAATCCCCTTTTTCTCTCTCTCTCTCTTACTCACTCTTTCACTCTACCGCTCTTCCTCTTTCTCATTCCCCCTCTCCACCCCCCTCTGACTGGAGCTAAGCCCAGCCACTTCACCCACCCGTTTGAACTCTCTGCCAGCCTCTGTGTGGATGCACTGTGGCTTTTATGAAGGCAGGTGTGGCAACCCACACCCTAGGCCCCATCATGTTGCTTTGACATCTTGTTCCATTATTGTTCCATATTGTACTTATCGTTCCATCTTGTACAAACAATATGGTCTTTACATCTTCGGTCAGATGCCATTCGTCTTCAGCAGGTCGCCCTGCGGCGGTTGTGGTCGTAACGGTGGCAGAGTTTCAGTGTTTGGAGCATAGCCTGTCCTGCTGTGTTAACAAACTGGTTTGTGAATGTAGCGTGTCGACCATGTTGACTGTATCCCGGTCTACTGTCCAGGCCCCTGCTTACCCTGCCAGCAGAGTGCTTATCTGTGTCGTCAGGTGCACTTACCCAGAACTCTGTCTGGCTGAGTCTAACTCCAAAAAAGCTGTCCCCTTCCCTCCTCGCTAAACCTTGTCTAGTCTCCATCGCAGATCTGAGACAATTGGGGAGGTCCAAGCAGTAGCTAAACCCTGGTCGTGTTCATTAGGGCACGCAAATTAATACTTTGTGAAACGTTTTGCAACAGAAAACAAAAATGTATGTTCCTTATTGGACAAGTCCATGTGCTTAAGGAACACCACTCCCACCCCTATTTCCTTCTTATTGCCTTCACTTATCCATTCCTGGACGATCTGCAAAGGCTAGTGAACAATGGAAGAACTGAGAGAAGAATGTTCAGGAACTAACTGCAGAGGCTTCCATGTCCAAGGGATTGCAGTCCTGATAGGAGAATAACCTTCCTCCCACAAAGGAGCCTGCAGCTTGTACCAGAATCACCAGAGACTTACCAGCTTGTTTACCTCCTATGATTTCACCGTGGGCCTCAGTCTGGGCTTTCTTTGAGAGGAACCGCACCCCTCCCATGCGCCAAAATGGCACAGTGTACGACTAGGCTAAGTGTCCGTCCCAATTGGCACTATATTCCCTATATAGTGCACTACTTTTGACCAGAGCCTGTGGGCCCTGGTTAAAAGTAGTGCACTATATAGGGGATAGGGTGCCATCTGGGATGCAACCTAAAACTACTGTAATCAGAATCTGAGAGGAAGGCCAGAGCACCCTCGAAGGCACAACTGGAAACATTGAACTCTCTCACACAGACCGAAAGTGTGCCAGTTGCTTAGTTCCCTGTAAGTTCCCAGGACGTCACTGAGGACCATGTCAGGACCTTTTTAGGACGTTCTCAGGATGTTTATTTTACTGGTCCTTAGGACGTTGTGTGATGGTCCCAAGGGAACATCTCTGGGGGACCTTTTCCTAGTTCCCGGTTTTTCCCAGGGACGGCCATGAATACTTTTTTAGGACATTGTTGGGACCTGGTGTCATGGTCCCCTGAAGGTTTTGTCTAGTTCCCGGTTTGTATCGGGGATGTCCCCGAGGACGTTTTTAGGACATTCTTGGGACATTGTGTCATGGTCCCCTGAAGCTCCCTTGATTGTCCCAGGTGTCCCAAACCATTATGTAATGAAATGGTATCGGGGTTTTAAAGTAAGTGGTACCCTGTTCAGCTAAAATAATGTACAAATCTTTAAACAATGACAATATTATTACATTTGACATGATCACTTAGTACTTACTGACTTTTCAATATGACCCCACCTGGGATTTGAACTCACAACCTCTGGATTTGGGGTATGCTGATCTTTCTGCTGCGCCAAAAAGTCTGTAGAATTTCTGAAGTTCCCTACACATTCATTACCTATAATACATCTCTGCACTTAACAAAAGAGTGCCATCTGCACTGCTATTTTAATTATCAGTTAATCTGACTATTCTCTCATTGATTTCTTTTACTTATTTCAACAATTTGAGTTTGGGGTTTTTAGTATACATATCTAATGTTTGTGGGGCATGTTATTCTGTTTTAATGTTACTCCTGAATCACTATGATAAATATCATAGTTTTTCTTCAGTGTTATTTTAACAGAGCTGAGTTTTACTTTGAAGTGCAAAGTGTAAGAATAGGCCTACAGGTGAAATCAGTCAGTAACCATGTTTCCATCCACAGTTTTTATGCGAGTAAAGTCATACCGTATTTTATTTTTTTAATCACGACAGCTGTGATGGAAACAGGACGTTTCGGTACAATTTTATAAATGCCGACAGATCATTTGTTTGTTCGACTTGGTGGGATCTTTTTGTCGGTAAAATGTATTATGCGAGAAATGGCGGTGGAAATGCTTTTATACGCAAATATTGATATAATAACCATCGAAGTAAACTTGGGTCACTCGATGACATGTTGTGTGGTCCTCCCACTATGACTTGGGAAACTATGCAGTTTAAACTAGGCTACAGATTAAATAAATTATGATGGACTTCACAGGGTGGTGAAAGTGCATGGTATGAGCTTGATGCTCCTTTCCAATAAATGTTGAGGGTCTTATTCTGGTGAAATGATGAAAGATGCTTGACTGCCGTTTTGACAACTAAAAACAGTCTCGACTCCAGGGGACCAAAACTGGTCAAGCCAACCAAAACCAAGCCAAGTAGAGGAAGCAAAACTGGTGTTAGATTTGGCCCTGTTTACTTTGGGGTTGCCTAATCACTGATCTAACTTGAATAGATTGCTGTAGGCTATGCATTGGAACCCCTGATTTCTCCTATCTAGTCATGTCAGATCTGTGATTAGTCCATGCTCTGGATGCAGGAAGGGGAGTGGCCTTGGAAGGTATTTGTATTTATTATGGATCCCCATTAGCTGCTGCCAAGGCAGCAGCTACTCTTCCTGGGGTCCAGCAAAATTAAGGCAGTTCATACAATTTTAAAAACATTACAATACATTCACAGATTTCACAACACAAAGTGTGCCGTCAGGCCCCTACTCCACCACTACCACATATCTACAGTACAACATTTTCCTACTTGCATCAGTTACTTGATGTGGAATAGAGTTCCATGTAGTCAAAAAATTAAATAATAGTCATGGCTCTATGTAGTACTGTGCGCCTCCCATAGTCTGTTCTGGACTTGGGGACTGTGAAGAGACCTCTGGTGGCATGTCTTGTGGGGTATGCATGGGTGTCCGAGCTGTGCGCCAGTAGTTCAAACAGACAGCTCGGTGCATTCAACATGTCAATACCTCTCATAAATACAAGTAGTGATGAAGTCAATCTCTCCTCCACTTTGAGCCAGGAGAGATTGACATGCATATTATTAATATTAGCTATCTGTGTACATCCAAGGGCCAGCCGTGCTGCCCTGTTCTGAGCCAATTGCAATTTTCCTAAGTCCTTTTTTGTGGCACCTGACCACACGACTGAACAGTAGTCCAGGTGTGACAAAACTAGGGCCTGTAGGACCTGCCTTCTTGGTAGTGCTGTTAAGAAGGTAGAGCAGCGCTTTATTATGGACATACTTCTCCCCATCTTAGCTACTGTTGTATCAATATGTTTTGACCATGACAGTTTACAATCCAGGGTTACTCCAAGCAGTTTAGTCACCCCAACATGCTCAATTTCCACATTATTTATTACAAGATTTAGTTGAGGTTTAGGGTTTAGTGAATGATTTGTCCCAAATACAATGCTTTTAGTTTTAGAAATATTTAGGACTAACTTATTCCTTGCCACCCACTCTGAAACTAACTGCAGCTCTTTGTTAAGTGTTGCAGTAATTTCAGTCGCTGTAGTAGCTGACATGTATAGTGTTGAGTCATCCACATACAGAGACACTCTGGCTTTACTCAAAGCCAGTGGCATGTCATTAGTAAAGATTGAAAAAATGTAATGGGCCTAGACAGCTGCCCTGGGGAATTCCTGATTCTACCTGGATTATGTTGGAGAGGCTTCCATTAAATAACACCCTCTGTGTTCTGTTAGACAGGTAACTCTGTATCCACAATATAGCAGGTGGAGTAAAGCCATAACACATACGTTTTTCCAGCAGCAGACTATGATAGATAATGTCAAAAGCCGCACTGAAGTCTAACAAAACAGCCCCCACAATCTTTTTATCATACATTTCTCTCAGCCAATCATCAGTCATTTGTGTTAGTGCTGTGCTTGTTGAATGTCCTTCTCTATAAGCATGCTGAAAGTTTGTTGTCAATTTGTTTACTTTAAAATAACATTGTATCTGGTCAAACACCATTTCTTCCAATAGTTTACTAGGAGTTGGTAACAGGCTAATTGGTCGGCTATTTGAGCCAGTAAATTCTTAGGTAGCGGAATGACTTTTGCTTCCCTCCATGCCTGGGGGCACACACATTCTAGTAGGCTTAAATTGAAAATATGGAAAATAGGAGTGGCAATATCGTCTGCTATTATCCTCAGTAATTTTCCATCCAAGTTTTCAGATCCTGGTGGCTTGTCATTGTTAATAGACAACAATAATTGTTTCACCTCTTCCACATTCACTTTACGGAATTCAAAATTACAATGCTTGTCTTTCATAATTTGGTCAGATATACTTGGATGTGTAGTGTCAGCAATTGTTGATGGCATGTCATGCCTAAGTTTGCTAATCTTGCCAATGAAAAAATCATTAAAGTAGTTGGCAATATCAGTTGGTTTTGTGATTAATGAGCCATCTGATTCTTTGAATGATGGAGCTGAGTTTGCCTTTTTCCCAGAATTTCATTTAAGGTGCTCCAAAGCTTTTTACTATCATTCTTTATGTCATTTATCTTTGTTTAATAGCGTAGTTTCTACTTGTTTTTATTCAGTTTAGTCACATGATTTGCCAATCGGTTGTGCAGCCAGACTTATTTGCCATTCCTTTTGCCTCATCCCTCTCAACCATACAATTGTTCAATTCCTCATCAATCTACGGGGATTTAACAGTTTTTAGTCATTTTCTTAATGGGTGCATGCTTATTAGTAACTGGAATAAGCAATTTCATAAATGTGTCAAGTGCAGTGTCTGTTTGCTCCTCATTACACACCACGGACCAACATATATTCTTTACATCAACAACACAGGAATCACTACAAAACGCCTCTTATACACAATATTAGGCCCAGCCTTTGGAACTTTGTTTTTCCTAGATATGGCTACTATATTGTGATCACTACATTCCATGGATTTGGATACTGCTTTCAAACAAATCTCTGCAGCATTAGTAAAGATATGATCAATACATGTTGATGATTTAATTCCTGTACTGTTTGTAACTACCCTGGTAGGTTGACTGATAACCTGAACCAGGTTGCAGGCACTGGTTACAGTTTGAAGCTTTCTCTTGAGTGGGCAGCCTGATGAAAGCCAGTCAATATTTAAATCACTCAGAAAGTATACCTCTCTATTGATATCACATACATTATCAAGCATTTCACACGTTATCCAGATACTGACTGTTAGCACTTCGTGGTCTATAGCAGCTTCCCACCAGAATGGGCTTTAGGTGAGGCAGATGAACCTGTAGCCATATTACTTCAACAGTATTTAACATGAGATCCTCTCTAATC